CTTGACGGATAATGAGATTACGTCCCAGCTGACTGCGCCTGGCACGCCTCAGCAGAATGGCGTAGCAGAACGGAGGAACAGGACTCTTAGGGAAATGGTTAGGGCAATGATGAGTTATAGTACATTACCTGATTCGTTTTGGGGATATGCCCTAGAAACAGTGGTATACATTTTGAATAGAGTACCTTCTAAACCAGTACCGTCTACACCATTGGAGTTGTGGTCTGGGCATAAGCCTAGTCTGAGACATCTCAGGATTTGGGGTAGTCCAACACATGTGCTGAGAACCGATACTGATAACTTGGAACCGAGATCAGAAGTAAGGCTGTTTGTGGAATATTCTAAGGAAACGAAAGGTGGTATATTTTATAATCCCGAGGACCAGAAAGTAATCGTTAGCACGAATGCTAGGTTCTTGGAAGAAGACTATGTCTTAGATCATAAGCCCAGTAGTAGACATATTCTTGAGGAGTTAAATGGAGTAAGTACTTCAATACCGAGTGCGCTAGATGTTACACCACAAAGTACTGCAACACGTATCGCTGATGATGCACCTCAGCAGGTAGTACCTCGTCGTAGTGGGAGGGTTGTCCGGCAGCCCGGACGGTTCATGGGTCTGGGAGAGTCTTCTGAGGCCGTCCCGGACGTTCTTGAATCCGACCCATGGACATACAATTAGGCACTCCAAGATCGGGACGCAGAGTCTTGGCAAAAGGCGATGAAATCTGAATTAGAGTTAATGGACACTAATCAGGTCTGGGATCTGGTAGAGCCACCCAGTGGCGTTCGCGCCATTGGATGCAAGTGGGTCTATAAGAGAAAGAAAGGAGCAGATGGAAAGGTTGAGACCTTCAAAGCTAGGCTTGTTGCAAAAGGGTACACTCAGAAAGAAGGGATCGATTATGAGGAAACCTTTTCGCCGGTAGCCATGCTCAAATCCATCAAGATTCTCTTGGCTGTGGCCGCTCATATGGATTATGAGATTTGACAAATGGATGTTAAGACCACTTTCCTTAACGGGAATTTGGACGAGGACATCTACATGCAGCAACCAGAAGTATTCATTGCAAAGGGCCAAGAGCATCTGGTCTGCAAGCTGAAGAGGTCCATTTATGGGCTGAAGCAGGCTTCGAGGTCTTGGAACATCCGTTTTGACGAGGTTGTCCAATCGTATGGATTTACCCAATGTCTGGATGAGCACTGTGTGTACAAGAAAAGTGATGGAAACGTGGTGGTGTTTCTAGTGTTGTACGTAGATGACATTCTTCTCATTGGAAACAGTGTGAAGATGTTATCAGACGTAAAGGTATGGCTATCTAAGCAATTTGGTATGAAGGATTTGGGAGAAGTAGGACATGTTCTCGGAATCAAGGTCATTCGCGACCGAGAGAAGAGAAAGTTGTGTCTATCCCAATCCACATACATAGATACTGTCCTAAAGCGTTTCAACATGCAGGATTCCAAGAAAGGGGATTTTCCCTTTCGGCATGGAATACCTCTATCTAAGAGGATGTCTCCGAAGACGCCTCAAGAGATAGAGGACATGAAGGCAGTTCCTTATGCATCGGCAGTAGGAAGCCTCATGTATGCTATGTTGTGCACGCGACCTGATATTTGTTATGCCGTGGGCATGGTAGCAAGATATTAGAGTAATCCAGGACCAGAACATTGGTCTGCGGTAAGACATATACTCAAGTACCTACGTAGGACTAAGGAGTACATGTTGATTTACCAGGCAGACGAGTTGCTTCCGTTGGGTTACACCGATTCTGACTTTCAGGCAGACCGGGACAAAAGCAAGTCAACCTCAGGGTTTGTGTTTACTTTAGGAGGAGGAGCCATAGTATGGAGGAGTTTCAAGCAGAAATGCGTGGCGGACTCAACCATGGAGGCTGGGTATGTAGCAGCCTCAGAGGCAGCGAAAGAAGCTGTCTGGCTCAGGAATTTTCTCCTAGACCTTTATGTGGTATCGAGTTTTCCCTCTGCAATCATAGTGTTCTGTGATAACAGTTGAGCAGTAGCAAATTCGAAGGAACCACGGACTCATAAAGCGAGTAAACACATAGAGCGCAAGTACCACCTGATACGAGAAATCGTTGGACGAGGAGAAGTCGTTGTTGCCAAGATACAATCAGAGGACAACCTAGCAGATCCTTTTACGAAGAGCCTACCGGCGAAAGACTTTATGAGACACGTAGGAGGAATGAGAGTCAGATGTTAGGGCAACATAGGAGACTAGTATTTGAGAATTAGAT